GTAAACGGAATCTGTATTTCAGGGGACTTAATTTCTCATACAAAGCTATGTGATGGTAATGGTATACCATAGCACTTGTGGACTACACATGTGGACAGATAGAGAAGCCCCTGTTTTCAAGGCTGAGTCCTTTTCATAGCATAAAATTTTGTTTAAAAATAGACACTGAGCAACAACAAATTTTGAAATTTTCACTGGTAGTAAAATTTCACAGTATATCAATTCTACTTGATCTGGAGGGTACCTTACAGATTATCAAATAAATTCTGTCATTGCACACACCCTGCCAGTAGAAAGAATGAGGACAAATTAATTTTTAAACCAGAGCGTAATAACTTCGTATAGCATACATTATACGAAGCACACTTGTGAAATGAAATGCAAAAGCAGATATTCTCCACATATGCTTTTATAATTCCAAAATATATGTGGAAAACATCAGAAAGCACGGATTCAATGAATTTGACTCATTCTCCCTAGCCTGAAATACATCAGCAAATGTATAGTCACAATATTAACATATAGACTAAACTAAAAAAAAAAAAAAAAACACGTGGCTTTACTACGTATTTCTACATTAATGGCCTGAAAGATTATTCGAGTGATTTATTTCACAAACTTTCCTTTCTAAAAGAGTGATCAACTTTGTATATATTACATATTACTACCTCATCCAAGCAAACAACAGTTTTCCATGTATATTCTATAATCCCTTAACTCTGTCAAGCTGGAATGAACATGAATACTGTTTGATGAAAGGAAAAGACTAAATTTAGTATGAGGATAGTGTGAACTTACAAGTTAAATATAATTACTCAAGTTTTTTTCTGCACTAAAATATTATTATTGGGCACAAGGACAAAATATTTTATTGACAGAAGGCTTTCAGTCTTTTTATAATCCATAATAAAACACAACGTGTAATCTGGTTTCTTTTTTTTATCATACATATATATATATATTTTATTAAAATCTATTTGTGATTTTTTCTGTGTGAGAAGAATATGATTTATGATCTGAAAAATAAAAGCAAATATGACCGTTCAAATGGAAGGTAAAAAACACATCAAGAAGTTACCCTCTTTTAATAGGTAACATTACTATGCTCATTTCTGGATATAAGATTAAACAGAAAAAAAATTCTTTAGAAAGATGTTAAAGGAAGTCCTCGAAAGTAGTTCAAGAATAAGACCGAACAAAGTTAAAAGAACTGATTATTTAACTGGACAAACCACTAATGGAGGCTCACTTTTAATCTATCTTTAAGTTCATGATACACTTTTGCACAGTGAACAGGAAGCAGGTGTTTTTGACTTTCACAGTGGGTAAAGGGTTCAAATTCCTGTATGCCAGATTCACTTTATAAAGAAGTATCTTGACCATGAGGCTAATTAAACATTGAATGAGCTCCAGAGTGTGTTACTGATCTCAGCCTCTGGAAGTTTTTCACTATAGTGGAGAGTCTCAATCATCTGAGGTGTTTGAAGGCTGTTCTTTCTTTCAGTTATGGAAACAGATTAGATTACTTCATAAATTTAATTTATTGCTTCACTTTCTGTGGTTTCTACTGTCATAAAATATAAAGAGTATTTTTGTTTCCTGCTATGCAAGTATGAGAATGTGAATATTCAAATTATTAAACTGCCATTTTAATGTATTAAATAAAATTATTTTTGCAGGCAATTACATGGTATAAATAGTATATCAGTACTTTTTTTAAACAATTATTTTTGCAACATACATGTTAGTCATTCTTTTTACATCACTAATCAGTTTAATATCTTAAATTTTTGATTTGTTTAAATGTTTTTATTTTTCACAGTTTCATATTATACTTTGCAAATTATAAATGGCAACAGCAGGATTTACAATACAAAGAAAAATATACATTATGAAATTTTTATAAAACATTATATATGTGGTAAATTATATGAAGGTAGATATTTAAATATCTATTTTCCATTAAGAGTCCTTTGTATTTGTAGTTCAGACATTAATATAAGTGTCTTAAATCTGACATTTCTGTGATTCACTATGAAGAATAAATTCAGTTAAATAGAATTAAAAAGAAATATTAACAGTCCTTTCCATTTTACTTTTGATTTGACTTAAAAGAATACCTTTATCCATATTAAGTGATCAGTTCCCTGCATATGCTGATGCATAGCTGGAAAAAAGCACACTTGTGAAATGAAATGCAAAAGCAGATATTCTCCACATATGCTTTTATAATTCCAAAATATATGTGGAAAACATCAGAAAGCACGGATTCAATGAATTTGACTCATTCTCCCTAGCCTGAAATACATCAGCAAATGTATAGTCACAATATTAACACTGTGGAATAATTGTCCTTGGCAAAATTTTATTAGATGATATTTGCTTTCTACTTGTCCAACATTAACCCGTAGATAAAGAAAAATAAGGATTATTCAATGTTCAAACTCACTTCATAAAGGTTTTGAAATAAAATGTATATGACTATGACTTTAGTAACAGTATAAACAATTTCTGATTTGGTGATACTTTACAAATGTGAGATTAGCTTCTGAAATGGAAGAAATCTCTTCTCCCCAATCTAATCTGTTCTGACCTTAAACCTCAGTTCTCCTATTTGTCCTATTCATGCATGCCTGAATTAACAGATAGGTGGGAGGAAGTAAATTTAATAAAAGGTGATTATATTATTCAAACAATTACTGGAATAGGTGGACTTCAAATTAAAAAAGCAGCACACAAGTAACTCTAAGCAGTAATTAAAATATGTCCTTAAATATTTATTTTAATATATTTAGTATAACGTTTGCTAAACTTCCGTGTTCTCTTTACTGTCAACCATTTTAATGTTTCTTTTGCATCCATACTAAATCAGATGAACATATATCTATGCTAATCGCTTTTCCCATAAGTAATCTTTTAACCTAATTAGAAATAATATTTTACTGATTTATATCTGTGCTACGATAACTACTTTCTGCATTTATACTGAGATGTAGATTTTCAGTACAATGAATTAGTTTCTCACACAATAAATTAGTTTATAGGTTGAGTATAGGTCACTCCTGAGTTTTCGTCTTTGAATTACTACAACGATGTTTCCTATATATCAGCATTTTCTGATTTACACTATTAAGAAAAAAGTATTTATATTGTAAAGAAAAAATTTCAGCCTGTAAATAATGCCTTCAACTTATCTTGATGAATGTAATATTATTCATGGGATGACCATATATACTGGGTTTTCCAGGAAAGCACAAAATCTTGTGTAATTATTAATAGTGCTCCCTTTCACTCACCAAAATGTCCAGTTTAAACAGTAAGTTATTTGGTCACTGTAGTTATTTGCTCCTATTAATTTTATAAATTTGAATGCCTGTGGTTGCACTATGCTAATATATTAAATAATTTTCAATTCTGATATGAATAAAAATATATTGAATTATTTATACTGAAGTTTATCAAACAGATCATTTGAATCTAAAGACATAGGAAAGTAGAATTTAATGCTCTTACAAGAGCAAAATTTCTGTTTGCTTATAAAATACTCTTTGTAACATTATGACCAGGTAAGTCATAATAGCTACCCTGCAGTCCAATATCGTGACTAACACATTTTATAATTCATAATATCATAAGATATTACAAAGCAAAATATGTCTTGGTTACTTTACATTCTACTTACTACACAATACACATCAATATTTATTTTTGCTTTAATTTCTGTCAGTGGTTGTGCCAGACTTTTGCGGATTTAATTGATGTGCCTGCTAAATGGTGAAATAGTGGAAAAATGTTTTATTGGCCAGAAACTGACTTTTTGAGGAAAGATAAATGAGAGAATTAAGGAAAACAAATTAAGAAAAAAAAAAATAACTAGATAATATACTTGAAATGAGTGGAAATCCCAGAGAAGGACTGAACTGCGAACTGATCAACATGTTTGTGCCTTTGTTTAAAAGAAGAGTAGTTAACTATTCACTGGATTAAAACAGTCCACTTATATTATTTAATAACTAGATAATATACTTGAAATGAGTGGAAATCCCAGAGAAGGACTGAACTGCGAACTGATCAACATGTTTGTGCTTTTGTTTAAAAGAAGAGTAGTTAACTATTCACTGGATTAAAACAGTCCACTTATATTATTTAATGTTTAATTTTATATATATATATATTTTATATATATATATATGATTTTTATCCCAATTGAACTATCTTGACTTTCAGCACAGTTTTATAACATGTTTATTTTGTGCTAGGTACTGATGCAGGAGATACAATTTTTGTTCTCATTGTGCTCATGGTTAAATGTTAGGAAGATTATGGGTAGGTAAGAGGGAACATCCTTTTTCACTATAAATAAACATAATACTTAAAATTATAAAATCTAAACAATTGAATCTTGGCATTCTTCTTCATAATCCAGTATGCTTTATTTTACTGGAACAAATTTGATAATATCTTTTTCTCCCTTCAACTTTAACCATTTTATGTGGAAACTAATTATTTTTAAGGGATAAATTTACTTTTTAAAAAAATTTGTAGGCCATAAAAAACTTGGTTTTTGTATAATTTTTAAAGTGAAATAAACTAGACTTAGAAAATGTCAGTCATCTTTAAAATTTTAACTTCATAAACACTTTCTGGCACAGTTTTCTCTAATAAGTAATAGTTTAATATATATAATTTACAGTTTATTAAGTTAAATGTATAATAACTCATTCATAAATTTTCTAAAGATTTGTAGAAATGTAAGGGCCACACATTTATAAAATACTCTGATCATGCATAAATAGTGAAGTACAGTATTGTTTTCTAGATTACCTTAAAAAGCTAACTTCCACATAATTGGTGATTGGTATGTAATATATATATATATTTCCTATGCGAAACTGATTTATAAAAATGTCAATGGGATATGAAGATCAACTACATTGTATATTGATAAATTAAAATAAAAAATAAATAAATAAATAAAATATCAAAATTGTCATTTTCAGAAACCCAAACAAGAGAAAGACTGTGACTACTAGAAATCAATGTAGCACTAAAATATTTTGACACTACGTGGGTCTGGCATGCGGGTACGATGAATTTCTGATTATACTAATTTTTTTTACAAGAGTGTGAAATTCTAAACTCAAAAAGTCAACCTCTTAGAGTATTTTCTTTCTTTTTTGCAGCACGGAAAAGGATATGCTAGTCATTTCTACAGGACTTACCTGGAGCGGCATGATTTGCACAAAGTCGACCAACAAAAGCATCAACTTTTCAACTTCATTATCTTGGCCGTCCAGTTAGTTGTGTGTAACTGAGTATTAGATTTCCAGCGGAGTCATCGTGGCCAATTATAGGACCTAATTGCTCTCAGCAGGCCTGAGAAATGAGTTGAAATGTGCCGAACTGTAGAAACTTTAGAGGCAACTGATTCTGCCTCTCCGATCAGTGTGTGCCTGTTTACAGCACTATATATCTTTCTCTCTCCAAATGTCACTGAGCCCTTTAGATGTTTATATTCACCACAACAAGCCAGTCATAAAGATAAAGGAAACTTGTGCATTATAAATGCAATATCACTGTTTTAAACTTGACTGTTTTATATTATTTTTGTGTGATCAAGTGTTCCCCAAACTATTCCAACTTTACAAAGAAATTGTGATTATGTTCTTTTCACTTGTGGGTTATAAAAAATGTATTCTGAAGACCCACAAAATATCAAAGACATTCTGTAGTTTATACACCGTGTTGCAAAGTGTTTACTGTACTATTTCAAAGCTTCTAAATAAATATAAAATATATATATATATTATATTATATAATTTTCCTAAAATGTGGTACAAGTCAGTTGGTTTTTAAATGGATTCACAGTCCACATCATACAATAAAGTAAAAGGTAATTCAGGGTCTGAAAGATAATCTTACTAAGAAAAACAAAATCATTAATAGTTTCCTCACAGTTTTTATATCTTATTCAACCCTGTTTTTCCTTGTTTAAAAGAAAATGAAGCTCTAAGCTACAAAGTTTTGTCAAGAACTCATACTGAATTTACAATGCCAAAGATGTAGGTGTCAATATTATCAGACAGAACACTGAATCTATACTCTCAAAATTTCTAACAATCTATATGATTCTGATTCTATTTCTATGGCTTTGAATTTAGAATCATTTAAAGATATTATGAGGAATTTATAAATTAATCTGTATTCATTGTTAGAAAAAAACTGGATGTCTGTACATTTTGTGGTGTAAAATATGTAATTGAAGATTACTATTTTAGGAAGTCCTCGGTCATATAACTCACACAGAATTTTATTTTACATAGTTTTATATAGTTTTGTGACTCAATTACACATGACTATAAAATTTATTTATTGCTCTATATGAATATATAGAGACATAAATATTCGAACTGGTAAAGAATATCTAAGATATAAAAAACCTCTAAATTTAAAACAAATTAAATAAATTTCAAGATAGAAACATGGCACATTATTGTTTCAGTATTGTGTGTGAAAATTTTATAGCTTAAATGTAGTCAGTGTTTTATTAATGAAAAAATTCTTCATGAGTCAGCCTTGAAAAGTTAAGCTTGCCTTTTTAGTTAAATGTCAACAAGGTTAATTATTCAGTAAGATGGATTTTCCGTTCTTTTACATATTTTTTTTAATGTTGTTTATTGCTTGTTGAAACACAATTAAGACAGGGAAAAATCAGAGAATGTGAGTTAAGAATAATAATCCAAGCAAAAAACAAAATTGTCACAGCTCCCCTCTAAAAAAGCCTTTAACATTATATCAAAATGTTTGCCCAGTCCAAATTACAAGCCCATTTTTAAATAGTTCCCTTAATTTTTAACTGATCTTGTGTTCAATGATAGTTTGAGCTGCACTGTTATTAAAAAATAAACAAAAAACATAACACTTAAATATTCTCCATCTAGTTTTACGTAATTTAAGTTGAAAAATTCTTATATTTAATATGAAAATGTATACATATATTCATAGACCCTTGATGTATATGTTTAGAGTGATATCTTGGTATCACTTATTTTACTGTTATCAAGTTAGATATTAATATGTCATAATCCTGATTAGTTAATGTATCAAAATAAAATGTGTAATGTTGCAGTCTTTTGGGGACCCTTTAAAAATATATAAAGCCAATACAAAAAGCACATATATTCACTAAGTGAAGCAGTTACATTTTCTCAAACCTTTGATGTTACTCCATTAATATTTTGAATGATAGACTATTTTAGAAAGGAAATGTTTATATATAATTTAACTGGGAAAAAAAGTCTATTTGTTATAATTGTTTTTTAAGAAACAGAATGATTTTCTCGTTCAGTCACTCTGCTTTAATCAAAACCTTTCATGCCTCATTCTACAATCATGGGGGAAAATATACATCCATATTCCTTATTAGTAGTATTATTATTCCAATGCATGTAGCATTGAAAATAAGATTATACTCACTTTACAAATAATTGCTCTATTCATTCATTTGATTAAAAAAACTTTCTTTAACCCTTTATGTAATTGTATATAATCTCCCTTGAGCCAACTTTTTATAATATATGTTAGTGTATTAGTCGATTTTAAATATATCATAGTAACTAGTTATACTAGTTTGCATTTTAGTTCTTAAATCATATTATCAATTTACAAAAAAATAAAAAACAACAAAATTTTACCTAATTTGGGAGGCAAATAGAATTATTTAATCTTACAATACTAAATTATTAGGTCATTAATCAATTATCTATTGCATCCAGAATAAACCAGAAGTTACAACAGAGTAAGGATATGATTTTAGTAAATTGTCTAAAATGTTACCTACCAATGACAAGCACTGTAAAATGGAAACTGCCAGTTTCAAAGGTTTGAACCAGTAACAAAGGTTTCCAAAGAAACATTTACTAGATTAGTATGTCAAGGAATTTTAGAATAGGCTTTCAATTTAATCCGGTCATCCTAATATCCTATCTTCCATAATTCCTATACACATCAAAGAAAAATAATATCCACCTTATTAGACAGTATTTTATAAGTAAATTATTTCAGGAAAGAATAGTCATGACATTTACTCCTTGTTAACATGGTTAGTTTTAGAGCAGTAAAAGTAAAAATAAATTTCCTGTGGAAACAGTGTGCTAAATGTTTCAAAGGTATGTCAAATGACAATTTTTAGAAATATTTCATTCACATGCAAAATGCTAATTTTTAATTTGTGAACATAATTTTGTGAGTTCATTTTAAATCAAATATTTAAATATCACATCAGAATTATTTTGCAGATATACAGATGTCAATAATATGTGTATCATCTTTCTCGAGAAATATTAAGAAAACGTTTATTTTATTTTATAAAGATATTAAATGCAATGCCTTTATCAAACATTGCAAATTAAAAACTAGAGTAGTTTTAAATATTTTAATTACACATTCTGTTTTATTTCTAAGGAGTGTATAATTTGCCATCAGATGTCCTGTGTAATATAGAAGCCATCCTGCTCTTCTAGTGATGGAAAAAAAATCTTCAAAATTCTCAACATAAACTTTAATAACTGTGCATTAATTCTACTATTGACCTTCCAAAAATTATTTATTGGAGTTCAGTTCATCATTAATATAATTATTCAAACAGAATGTGGCGAATGTTAAACTGGATAAAAAGAAGTATTTATGTTACTGATTGATAAGAGTGCTGTTATTTGTCATCACTTATGATTCTCACCCCTCATATTTCCATGTGTGCTATTAACACCCAAGGAACTCAAAAATACTTAAATATTGGTATACTTGATGATTTTTCTGAAAATCATATATTTTTCATATTACAATTTCTTAGGTCCTTTATCTTTTTCATCTCTAATTTTGTAGTGGTAAAGGCTTTGCACTTAACCTCTTTTTTATGTTCCTTTTTAACAAGGAAAAACAGAAAATGACAAAATTCCATATTTTTTACACCATGGTGTAGTAACATTATTTTATATATTGTTAGTACTTCAAATAATATCCCTCTGCTAAGTCAAAAAAAAAAAAAATCCTTATACAGTAATTTGTGAAACTGTTCAGTAGAGCATTTGTTTTTCTTCAGAAACTTGGCATAGGTTTAGATGATAGCATTCTGTAAGAATGCTGGTAAATGGGTGCCGCCAGAGTATTGCAGGCAATAATATGACAAAAATTCTAATACCTTTAGTATGCATGCATGTATTTCTGATCGATGTTTTTTTAAGTATTTGTAAAATTAGAAAAATGACTTTTATTTCTAGAAAACTTGTCACATGCTCAGTTTGAAGTTTTTGCACTCCAGATGTTTTTGAGTTGCATAAGAACATTGCATTCATCATGCAAAATATTAAATTTTCAAATGAGACTCAAAAATTTCTGAGTGATAAAACTCAGACCTCTAATGCATCCATACATCCTTGAGCTGAAAGCAAGCAGGGAATTTCAGCTGTAAACACATTTTTGAGACAGTTATCTGTGAGTGAAAACAGGGTATTATAACAAAAGATGAGTTTCAATCTTAACTATAGTGTTTGTTACTGTGAATGCTATAATAATACATAAGTAAAATGAGTGTAAATGTAATATATTATTTTATACTGCTGTATACATATGAAATAAATAAAACTAGGAAACACATTATGCCATTTTTCCATGCATGGATCTTCCACTGTTGCCTGTGGGAGCTTTGAACACAAATCACAGGCAAAATATGGCCCTAAGTTTAAAAACAACTAATGCTGATTTAGTAATTTTAGTCTTAATATAACAGGTCTAAGGGGACATCTGTTCAAAACTGAGTCTCATTTGAAGAAACATATGCTAGGTTTTAAAGGATTTCACTATATTTATAATTTTGAAAGTAAGCATTAACTTCCATATGAGTCTCATGACACCCACAATGAATCTTTTAAGTATATATTTCTCTACCTGATGCTATATTTTCTTTTTAACTATTTTTGATTTGTAGTAATGCCAAGGGTCCACAAAAATTAATATGGAGGTTTTACATAATATATGAGTGCCTTCAAGCAATAAAAGAAACACAATTTACTCAAAATTTCATATTTAAAGTTGATGGAAACATAAGAAAAAAAGAAAATTCATGTGGGTATCATTTTTCAATAAGAAAATATGAATTAAGGTATAGATACTTTTTACAATGTTAAAATAATCTGAATTAACCCTATAGAAATTTAGGTTCTAAAATAGCTAAAAGGTAATAGGAGAAATGTTGTGCTTCTTAATCTTATGTGTGGTTTGTGTAACAGATATTTGTGAGTTCAAACTACACATATCTGGACCATGCCTCATTTTACAAGGTGACGGGGGAGGACTAGGTATTTCTCTTGCTTTGAACAACTAATAAGTCCAACCCTATGGTGGGGGAAAAAAAACTGAATAAAATACACAAAAATGACAGTTTTCAATGAAATATCGTCAGCTATAATTACAAATTGCCTTGGTTACCCTGTAGACCTCTACCTCCTATCTCTTAGTTTCACCCTTAATGGGAAAAAAATATCATGGACTGTTCCATTAATACAAGATTATGAATTTTTAGAGGTAAAATTAAATTTCATTAGATTGCAGACATATCTGGGAAAAAAATATCATGGACTCTTCCATTAATACAAGATTATGAATTTTTAGAGGTAAAATTAAATTTCATTAGATTGCAAACATATATGGAGGTCTGAAAATAAGGGGATTTAAGACTGTATGCCAGCCAAGAAAATTTTAGAATGGGAAAAAAATATCATGGACTGTTCCATTAATACAAGATTATGAATTTTTAGAGGTAAAATTAAATTTCATTAGATTGCAGACATATATGGAGGTCTGAAAATAAGGGGATTTAAGACTGTATGCCAGCCAAGAAAATTTTAGTTAGTTTTGGGAACCAAAGAAAACATAGGTAAATATTAAACAATTAAATGATCAAAATTTGTGGTCAAAATCCACCAGTAGGTCATGAGATCAATTTAATGTAAACAGACAATAACATGAAAACAAAGATGAGTGAATAAAACAGAAAAAAAAATAAAATGTATCAAAACACATCATCACGTAAAAGCAAATAGTTTTTTGTGAAACATTTTTCAGATATATGTGTGTAATAGGTCACAATGTAAAATATATATCTTACGGTGAATCGTTTCCTAAAATGTTTGAAAAGCACTGTACCATGTGATCTCTATTTCAAATTTAAGCTCATTTAATATGATGGGAAGTCAGGGAAGATATTCTTGAAAAGATACTCCACATCTGCATCTTAATCTTCATCCTCTCTAACATATGGGTAAGTATACCTATTTGTATAATTTTTGCGGGAATTAGTGAACTAATGTATGTGAAATGCATAGTACAATGCTAACACACAATAAGTAGTATATGTTATTATTAATATCATTTTTCACTACTTTGCTAGCTGAAAGAATTTCTCAAAATTCCAGACTGCTGTAGAGTTGTATCTAAACTGTGCTAATTTCAAAACGTCAGGATGAAAGTAGACTTGCCTTTGTTATCTGCTCATCAGCTCTGTTCACCTCTGCCTCTCCATTTATCAGTGATAGGGAGTCCAGGAAATAAAAACCACATCTGACTGAGCTCCACTCATCTCCCTCAACTCCCTTTTGCACTCTCAAATTACCTTATATCCCTATTATTGAAAATTACACATATTTACCTGATTTTTTTTCCTTGACCCAAATGTCCTTTCTGAATATCTATTTCCATACAAATAACTTTTAGTTGGAAATACTGCATATTTGACAGAATCATATTTTTTTTGTATATGACTATTACAAAAGTTAATTTGAGCATTATTCAGCATCTGCTGCATAGAATTAAATTTTTTTCATCGTTCAAATTATAGACATCTTGAAGTTGCCATTCCTTAGCTTGGTAAAACCTAATTCCTAGAGCTGTATGTATCTGTTCAAAGTATTTCTAAATTTTCCTCTTTTCTTGAATCAATTAAAAGTTGTATTTCCTTGTCATGGAAAATAGGTTTTGAATTTCTCAGTTAAAGTAGTTCATATCACTTTGTAATTAAATTCATGTTTCAAAGAAAGCATTTATATTTAAAGGGAATTTGTTAATCCATGTACAATCTTCTAATGAAAATTACTTATGTTTTGGTTTGCTTTGCTTATTTATTTATTTACTTACTTACTTACTTACTTACTTACTTACTTACTTACTTACTTACTTTACTTACTTACTTACTTACTTATTGGAGAGGATTTGATAATCATTGGGAAAGTCTTCAATCAATCTGCCTGGGAATAAGGAACATTTAGTTAACATTGCAATCAACTGATCTGGAAAACAACCTCCATCCTCTCCCTCCCCCTATCATTGTGAGTAACTCTTCTCTTGATTATGCAAAAGGGAACAAAACAAGTGTTGGCATGGTAAAATTGCATAAGCCTTAAACTCTAAATTTCATTCCAAAAGTATGAGAGTTCTCTTATTCTTAGTTGTATTTCCTAATTAATAATGGAGCAAATGGCCAATTTTACAGTTCTCTGGCAATATATTCATCTCAAAATTGTGTGTGTGTGAGAGAGAGAGAAAGAGAGAGAGAAACAGACAGAAATGAGAGAGAGATGGGGAGGAGTATTAACAGGAACAAAAGGGATTCATATCACAGAATACATGAAGAGAAAGTATCATCTTGTAGGTAAACACCTATGTTCCGTGCCCCTCTATTAATTAGTCTTTAGAATATCAAACGCCTGGTTGGATAGCAATATCTGAACATCAACAAGCTGGCTTGAGCTTTTTGACACCATGAAATCAATGATTGATTTGTTTTGACATTATGTGAAAACCACCCTTATTTATGACAGGGCCACAAAGACCACAATGAGACAACACAATGGTTGTAACAAAATCGACCAGGAAAAGTTGTAGAGAGAGAGTGAGTGAAAGAGAGGGCAAGAGACAGAGACAGTGTTATATTTTAAAAATGTAAGTTAAAATAAGAAAAGCAATGAAAATAAATGTTAGTTGTGTAAGTGTAGTTAAAACCTGAATTTTAAATTCATTAAAAAAATTTTAAATCCATTTAAAAATATAGTAATATCAAACTACCTTATCGAGATGCCCCTGTATATGCTCACTTTGTTTCCATTGTCTATTTGACAAAGATCCATGTGTGGCCTCACGACCGTGTTTTCAAGCATTACTCAGTTCAGTTATCTCACTAATCCTAAAGTGATATACTTGTCATTTTAGAAACCAGAACAGGGAGAGAATTAACAATACCACTACCACACCATGCAGAAACATGTGACACTGACATAACAGTCTACAAAACTATATGACAAGGTTACAACATTGTGATTATTGGTTAAGGGTATTGCAGCTGAGGTGGGAAGAAAGTTTCCAACTGCAAATCAGTTATGTGGAGTGGAAAATGTGTATTAGGTAATTTTTTAAGTTTAGATAGATATTTGAACAGAGTTTTAGTTTAATATGTAATATTTCCTTGTGAGAAAAAAGTTTTAACACTACAGAGTCTGTCCAGTATTAGATATATTATTAATAATTAAAACCAAGTACTACCTAATTTACATTTAGCAGGATAACTGATAACATTGAAAAAAAGAAAGAAATTGGGGTAAGAAGAGACTTGTGAATCTCTAGCTAGAAAACAAATGAGCACAAATGACATATGGAATGAACTAGTAAAATGGAGGGAAAAGGACAGAATTGAGAGACATTTCAGACGACTAACAGCCTATACTTTCTCACTGATGAGATGTTTAGCTGGCTGGTGAGAGAGAGAAGGAAATTATGACTGATGTTTGCCAAGTGACTCATTCTGCCTCTAAACAAGATAATATAAAAGAAAAGAACAAGTTTATACAGAAATTTTATTTTATTTTTAGAAAGGCTCCCTAATTTTCTCTTTATTATTTAAGTTTTACTATGCTTGCTACCCAAGTGGGACCTAAACTGCATTATACTTAAACAATTACAGTGAATTTTAGGCTTTTATCCTAATATCAAATGGTAGTAACTGTTCTGCATTCTGCTTTGTGTCCTGTAGAGTAGTTGATGGTTACTAATTCTACTTAAATTATATCTCTTAAGTTAATTATTTTCATTAATAAAGTTTGCTTGGAAATAATTCTATAAATATATTATGTACAAATTATAATTTTTTTAAAGATTTTTTTTTTCCTGTGTAACTTTGGCTAGAGTATATACCAAAAGTAGACTCGACCAACTTAAGAGGATACAGATTAAGTCAAACCTTCTGGCTATTTTGTGACACACATATAACAATACGTAGTGAAGATGAATATATGTTAATAAAAATAAATAAAAGACATGACAGTTGTAAGAAACATTAATGTTGTTGAACCTGTTATTTATCAAATATCATTTAACCTCAACTAGCAATTAATCTGATTTCTGTTTTGTTTGTTTTTTAAGTGAGCTCCACAGAATAAAAAATTTAGTTCAGAAGAGGGACTTGAAAATATTCTGTTCCTAATTCCACCGAAGAAAAGATAAGACAAAATTAGGACAATCCATGAAAGAACATAACCATAAATCTAACACTTGCCCTTTCTCTTGACTCTGAATTCTCAACCCGTGCCAAGCTATGTTTCCAGACCCTG